ATGACTTCAAGCTATTTTCAATGGGTAAGCAGTAGATAACAATAATATTAAAGGATCTTGTAAAGGAGGAAAATTGATAATTCTTCCTTTAAGTGCTGAAAATATTTGAGCACATACATATTTAGGGTTCCAGGCTGTGTAGCTTGGTGGCTTCTGCATCTGAAGAGTAACGAAGGCCATGAAGACAATTAGCAGGAGCAGAGGGCTAATAAACCTCCATGTGATCTGCCAGAAGAGATTGAGTTTTCTTCCGGTCATCCATTCCACATCTTTACTGAACCTTGTAAAAGAGGGCATGTTTATGATGATGTCAGAGCTAGAGTGGTAATAGTTTCCCTGTTTTATAGTTTCCTGTAAGTTGGAAACACAGAGCACAGCACTGTAAATCTTTTCTATTCCACACCATTCTTTAATAACACACTGCTTGCTTGAGTAAATAATAATATCATCCAAGTAGGTCTTTACTGAGCCATACCAGAGATGGATGACCAATTTACATTGTCAGTTTAATTACCTGAGTACCTAGTGTAAGGTTTCTGAGCTTAAATAAATTATGATAATATTGCTGCAGTTCTGTAAACTATTCAGATATTTAAAATAAAAAGACTAAATTGCCAAGGGAACAAACAGCCCACTAGGAAAATGTCTCAGTTACCAGCACCAAATCAAATCAGGTTAGGGTCAAAGTTAGTGCAACCTGAGCTGCATTTATGTCTTAGAAGAAAAAATTCCATCTCTTTCCAACATACCTTTTAATTTTATAGATGTACACAACTCCAATCACTTCAAAAAAAGCGATGACTAGAAGAGGCACTGAACCTGCATATCTGTCAAAAATGTCAATCCAGTAACTCCCTGAACCCAGTGTAAAACACAGAGCAATGAGGAAGCTAATTAGACATATTATACCTGAAGAAAAAAAGATATCTTTGTTACTGGAGTACTCAACTTGGTAGGTTTATTTTTGTTCTAAATTGCTTTGTTCTTTTTCAAATAATTTTTATTCTCTCCCTGTCTGTGGAGTTGCAACAAGCTGTTTTCTCATTAGGGGAGCTAATACCAATTCCCAAACTCAATTTTCCCCTGTGTGTTGGCCAAGAGCACTACTCCTGCAGGAGGAATGCATTCATGTGACTCAGAGCATCCTTCAGTTGTTTGTACTTCTTCCATCAGACAGCCTGGGCTGTGCTGTGAGCCAGTGTTAATTTTTGACTGTTGGAGTGAGTTTCAGGTGACTCATTTCCATGCAGCCATAGGCTTAAACTGCAGGCAGGTGGTACCTTGGAAATGTAAGGACTGGATTTCTGTCCCCATTTCCTCTAAGAGCCCAGAGCTACAAATGTTTGTGTTATGTTCCAGCATGTGTCATTTGGGTTTCAGCACACTTCTGTACAGCCAGTTCCCCTTTAGTCAAGATTTAGATTTGGGGTAATGGAGAGAAAAAGTGGGAAGGAAAGGAAGGAATAAACGTATTTCTGGACATAGCCGTGGGCTACAACTCAGTTTGTACATATTTCTAATGTGTTGCTAATTACTTCTAACTCTGAGATGGCCTTTGGTTCACTTCTGTAAAATGTTGGCTCCAGACTTTTTTTTAATTTTTTAAAGTTCACAATTGGAAAATCAGTTTTAAAAGAATATTGTTAACTCATCAAGTTGGGAATAAATTTGTTTTTACATGAAAAATTTTAAAATTAGGGTTACTATTTAGATACCAAAGGAAGACTCTACAAAAGGCATAACAGCAATATTTCCCATAAGAATTTAAAAGGGCACGTTGCAGAAATATTAGTCTATTAGTTGCAGCTGCCATAGATTTTTCTGGACCAATTTCATAGTAGGATCTCTCAGACTCTCATTGAGTCTGGTTCTTAAGGAGCAGGTTTTGTTCAATAACCATGGCTGGTTGAAAAGATTCCAGTTTTGGTGCCAGAACAGAATCACACACCTTCATTCCTCATTTTTCAAGTGGTAATTTTCTACTCTGACATGTTCACAGTAAATGTGAATCTGTAGCAGCATAAATCTGGGTGAAATAGGTGTGAATGACCTCTCTTACAGTGGTAAGTTCAAGTGCAGGTGGTTATGGCAGACCAGCTGATGTCACTGGGTGCCTTAAAGTGATTTGTATCAGTGCCAAAGGCTTAAGGGAAGGCAAGGCTCTTCCTGATGACTGCAATAGCTGAGAGTGGAGTGGACTCCAGGAATAGCAATTTAACAAGCTTTCTCAGACTGAAACAGCTTAATTTGCAAACTAAAAAAAAAACTGGCCAAGGCAATATAATATTGTCACCTGACAGCTTCTGCCATAACTGCTACCTCATCTCTCTGCTTATCTTCTGCAAACAAAACCACTGCCCTTACTTACACTGTGACATTCAGCTAAATTAATGCTAAAAATTATTAATTCTTCTGTGATATTAATTAAGCAGTTAATAGTTTGTGCATCTATAAGGAAGTCACCTTCTTTGAACAAAGCAAATACCTTACCAGATAATAGCTCTTTAGGTGCTGATTTAGGTATAATTTGAAGCTCTAGAAGAGGAGTGAAGACACCCTCAATGTTTCCAAACATCGAAGAAAGGCCCAAGCTGAACAACATGATGAAAAACAGGATGGCCCAGGCTTGGGAGCCTGGCATGAGGATGATAGCTTGAGTGAAAACAATGAAAGCCAAGCCAGTTCCTGAGACGCTCTGCAGCATTCACAGACAGATAAAAATACACATTACAGTGTCATTTCTCATGCATAAAGTAATTATAACACACTGCTGCCCTTTTCTGAGTCAAGGTTGCTGGTCACCCTGTGGCCTCTGTGGCAGCCAGAAGTTGAGAAAATGAGCAGTGGGGAGTTTAATTTTAAGTGTTCTAGAGATATCTAGACAAGCACAGAGCAGAATTTTAGCCTGCACAGAGAGATGGGTTCAGAGTAAAGCAGACTAGAGAGTTGTAATTGTAATAGAAATTGCTTTGCTAATACCATCTTAAATGTGCTTTTTAGAAATCTGTGATGTAGTAGCTTCTGGGGAAAAAAAGAGGTGTAAATAAGGATATGATTATCACTCTTAACACCAAGAGAATTCATTAATCATTGGCCACAAAACCCCCTATAATGGCCAAGGCAGAAAAGACTAATAGGGAAAAAGCCAATTTCAACCAAATTTCTTTTGATTTAGTCTCCCAAGGACAAGGATATTGAAATCTAAGCATTGAAAAATGCTAATGTTGTTATAACTTGGAAGTAAAATATTTCAAACTGTAAATCAGAAATGGATGCCATCAGAAGAAATGAGACAAAAGAAACTGACTTGTACCAGGGCTGGAATGTTGTCCTTGGACTTCTCCATCATGTGAGTAAAATAGGCTAGTTTACCATTATTGTATGTTAGGGCTGCATTAGCACACACTGACTGTGCCTAACAGGATCCCTGAAGCAAGTGCAATGAGTAGGATGAGAAAACAGAGAAGAAACATCTGTGTTTAGTGGTAAGGGAAATGTTATAGGAAGGTTGGAAAATAAGGTGATGTTCACCATCACTTTGATGGTGAACAGTGTACATTGTAATGGATTTTTTGATACTTTCCTAAATACAGATTTAGGAAATTCCCATTCAGCATTCTTTTTCCATAATCTTTCATCTAGATGTGTTCCCCCACTATGCCTTTTTCTGCAAACCAAACCAGGACTGAATCTAGTGTCCATGGTAGGCTTCTGGTGGGAGCACCCTGGAAGATCAGTTTTGTGGCAATAATGTGTAGTTTTGTTTGCCATAACAGACAGCAATACATTCAGACTATCCTACAGCAGTATTGTTATTTCAAATGTTGAAAGATTGATTTGTTGTATGATTATGTGTAATATATCATTGCAGGTAGAACAGAATACATGTAAGAAAAAGGATGATACCAATCCTTCTGTGTAATTTTGTTTAAGGATTACCTGTTGTAATCAGTTATGGTACCTGATCAAGAAATTCTTGAAGATCACAGCTTTTCAGTTTGAGTCCAGCAATTTTTTCTGGATATGATGAATTCAAAAAACTAATCCAGGTTGTATAGTTCTGTCGCATGATGCTTTCTTCTGGAAGATCAAACTCATTGATTATATTGATAATGTTCCTGCCAGAGAAGCCAACATATTTAAACTTTAGTTTAAAAGTTTGCAGATGATGTGGCTGGAAATGCTATGCTGTGTATTCAGATGCTACTCCAAAGCTGTGTTTACTTTCTGTGCTGCTGTTTACAATATAAAGGAAAATATTAATTGACAGCTTTTATATATAAAATAGTAGAAAATACTCAGACTATTTAACGTTGTCTCAGACAGAAATTCTGACTACTTTATGCAGATTCAGTCTCTAAATCATTTTTGTTTTATCAGGTCTCCAGACCATTTCTATTACTTGTGTTTAATAAGTTAGTGAAATAAATTTCTAATGAAATAGAAAAAGGAAAGGATTTTTACTACTTCTAATGCTATCCTGAGAGTAAGGTGCAAACCTTGATGCACTACTTGAAATGGGTTGTTCTGCAATTTGTCTTTATTCTTACAAATTATCATCCTTGACTCAGTCCCATAGTACTTTATATTTTTACATTAAACTTCTCCATACAGATGCTCTTCTTTTGTAATGAAAATAAATTCTCTAAAAACATGTCTTTCAAATAACACATTATCACATTACCTATTTAGGCACTGAAACCACAGTATAACTTTGGGAACACAGCTTTCTCACCTGTCCAAGCAGTCCCAGTAGGCTGTGGTTGCTTTAAACCCCAAAACAGAAAAGACTGGGATGGAAGCATAGAGGGATGTCATACTGTTCACAATTGCTACTGTCACAGCATCCTTTTCACAGTCATTTCTAGAGATAGCATTTAAACAAGTGAAGTGATTAAAAAGACAGATTTTCTTATCTGTAATGCAGTTATTTGTGCAAACATGTTTTTTAAAATTTCTTCTCTCCCTCCCTCCCTCCCTTCCCTCCCCTTCCCCCTTCTATTAGAAAATCTAGTGGGCCTTTTACAAAGACAGATGCTTTTCTAAAGATCCTTTAGAAAAATTAAGGAAAACATTTTGAAAATTTAAAGAACTTGCACAAAATGCAGCAAGAGTTCAGCCAGCTAATAAAGGTTGGGGTTCTACTCACTTTGTTGGATTGTAGCTTGCGAATGCAATAAGCCCTCCAAAAGCCAAAGAGAGAGAGAAGAAAATCTGTGTAGCTGCATCAAGCCATACACGGGGATTTTTCAAAGTGTTCAGCTGAAATAATTGAAAGAAATGCATGTATTAGGCTTAAATTAAAATTTCTTTTTCTCTTGCAGTTCTCGTAGCTCACCTGTTCTTTCAATTCTGGAATTTTGAGCTGTGTTGCTATCTATGAATACTATGAAAGTGGGAATAGGTACTAAACAGGTCAGTAAAACAGGTGTTTTCAAGAGTATCATAGAGGCTATTTAAATGTGTGCAAGAATTATAGAATCTTTTTTATTGTACACTTTGTCTATCTGATGTTATAATGTGGTTCTAAGTGATAAATACTAGAAACACAATAGGGAAAATGCATTTTTCCTCAATTACTTTCTTTTTTTTTAAATTCATGTACTTAACCTGCAGTTAAAGAATATTGTCTTCCTAAAACTCTATAAACAAATACTAAACCTTCACTGTTTTAAGACAGAAAGTGATTCTGTAGCTTCCCACATTTGCTTAAAAAATAATTTAATAGAAGGGACTAAAAGCACAAGCAGGCAAAAAGAGAACAGTTATTAAGAGCAGCATCTGCTATTCAAGGTGCTGTGAAAACAGCAATAAAGATAGAAGATCAGCATAGGAAATACAAGACAAAAGGAGAAACTGACAAGTTTGAATTTTGTTGTAAAGGCAGTATGATACAGGAAGGTAAATTAAAAAGCAATGATTGGTGGATTACAGAGAACATTAAGCAGTTTTAAATAGCTGCACTAAGGAGTCTTGACATTGAAATCTGCATAAAAGAAAGAGATAAAACATGAGTAATGCACAAAATGGAAGTGTGATCCATGAATATTACTTTACTGCAAACCTACAAAGTGGTGTGTTATACCCTACCATGTGAATTGCTCTCTGATCCATTATCAAGGACAGGGAATAGAAGAATGTTTTGCTGAGAATGTTTAAAAAGCCAGATAGTTCAGAAGTGATGCTGGGACTGTAGACTATTTCACTTTGTTTTGCAACAGTCTGAGTCAAATCTGCATCCCAGTCATGGAGGACAACTCGTGTGTTTTGTGTCTGTGTGCCTGTGCTTGTGATCTGAGCCCATGACTGGGAACATATGTAGGTGTGAGAGGTAAGTATGCCAGAAGACCCTTCATAGCATTTTGGTTTTCTCTGAAGCTGGCCTGAGCCTGAAGAGCAAGAACAATGGGTCCACCTCGGTGTGGATGGATGCAGGCAATGCCATTACTGCAGGTGCTCTCTCCACAGGGAGACAGTGCTTTGAGCACAGCAGAGTTGTGTCACCTCTTGTACAGCACAACACAGCCAGCAGATTCATGGAACCATTTCTGGCTGAAGTGATTCAGCAAAGGCAAACCCTTCTGGAGGTTTATTTTGAAAGATCACAGTCAAGCCCTCAAAGGCCAGAGTGCTCACTGGCAGGACTTTGTGCAGGTGCTGTTGCAGTGCAGAAACTTGGCACTCACGTGGCTCTGTGGCCTTCACACTTTGATTAAGTGCTGCCAAGTCAGTTGATGCTGACAGATGAGACTCCTAAAAGTCTGGCTTTCTCATTGGGAACTTTGGCAAATGAGTCTGGATATAGTTTAGACTGGTCCTAGGTGCAGTGCATTTATTGACTCCAAAAGATACTAATCAACCCCCAAACTTGAAAAGATAACAGGCAGGAAAGCGTGCCATGGCAATGTCATTATCTGGTCTTCAGCAAATTGTTGAAAGTGTTGTTTTATATTTATATGGCATACAGGTTTTATAAGCATATGTTCAGAAGAAAAAATGTGCTGATGCCAGAAACATGTGGATGAAGATGCATGATCAGTGTTAATGAATAGTCCCCTGTTCATTCCCTGTAAGGAGGAAAGTAAGTGTATTTGGATTCTTGAATATATGAAGCACAGACAGAAACAGAATTAAAAATTACAAAATTACTGGGGTCCCTGTGATATGTAATTTTGCTGTAAAAACAGCTAATGGTTTTGTGAATAGAGGATTTGCGGGCCTATGCTGGTTTTTTTTTTGTGTGTGGTTTTGTTGTTGTTGTTGTTTTGGGTTTTGCCTTTTTTAGTTTGTTTTTGTGGGGTTTTTTGTTGGTTTTTTTTTTGGTTGGTGTTTTGGGGTTTTTTGTTTGTTTGTTTGTTTGTTTTTGTTTTTTGTTGTTGTTTTTTGTTTTTTTTTTTTGTTAAATAGCTGCTGAGTTCTGTGGACAGCAACAGTTGCCCAACCAAGTTCTTGGAATTGTTCATTGCCAGAGAACCTCAAAATATTTACAATCTCTGAAGTTCTTTCAAATGTGAAAGAGACTGGAGAAGGAGACATTTGTATTCCTTAGGTGACACAGGTGTCCCCTGAAGATGAGCCATGCAGACTGTTGCTGATGCATGATGGAATCTTGTTGCTCTGTTTCTGCTGCCTCTGGTTATTTATTTTGCAAAAACCTTTCCAAAAGTCTGTTCCAGCTTCTGTGTGGCTTCATCATTGTACAACTTCTGCTTTCCCTTCAGGTGTCACTTCAGGATAATTTTTTGTTTTCTTGGCATCTTCATTTTCCAAGTAACCAAGAATTTTGAGAAGGTGAGTGAATCATCAGACTTCTCTATGTCTGAAAGTCAATGAAATGAAGTATTGATTATTTATTCTGAAATTTAAGGTGGAAAGTGTGTCAGATGACAAAAGCTGATTATGTATTTTTGCATGAAAATAAAAACACAGCCTTGCATAATTAAAATCCATATGTATGCTTTTATTATTTGTGGTACTTACTAACAAGAGCTAAAATACAAACTTGGAAAGTGAATAAACTTTAAAAATGTGGTTTAGAAAAACAAGTAAATTGTGGTAAATAACCACCATCATAGGTGGTTATGATGTTGAAACTGGGTAAGATGGGACTTTTTGTGCTAGGTGTTACTTTCACAGACTTTCACAAACAACATTGAGGTGTCACAGTTATGAGATAATGGATGTAGCAGCTATTACCGAGAAACTACAATTTCTGCTGCACTGCAAAGTTGGAAAGAAGTTGGAAAATATTGCCTCCAATCAGGGAAGAATGTCAAGAAGGTTGATTTTATGTATTTTAAAAGCAAGCTGAAACAGACAGTAGGTGATTTAATTCTTACTTTATTTTGCTAAAACTTTTTCTGCAAAAAGACAGGAAAAGAAGCACACATTTGAGAAATATGCTTTACAGTTTTGTAAACTGATGGGGTCTGGGTGGGCCTAGTAAATCTCTGCCTAACAGCCCTCCTGTACAACTCACTTTGAGGCATCCCCTGTAGAGAAGCGTAAAAGAAAAACCAGTATTTGCTCACAGGGAGGGTGGGAATAGCCTAACAGCAAAGGCAATGCTGGTACTGCAGTTGTGGGCTAAGGGGATGAAGAGAGAAGGGCAGTGTTGAAGCTGTGTGCTTACTGTGCTTTTGAAGTCCTTGAAGTGCCACAACCCTGTGTAGCAATTGGAAGGTTAGTTTAACAAAGCCATCTCTTACACTTCTGTGCAATGGCAACACCGATCACTTACCAGGCTGTTACATCAGCTTTTCCACATTTGTAGGTAAGAATATCACTAAAATCATCTTCAGATGACTTTTCAAGGATGTCCCCAGGATCTGCTTCCTCAAACCAGCAAACCATCAGCTGCAGGCTCTCTGCAGGTGGATTTTCATTCTGACTTCTGTTGCCAGTGTACAAATCCATCCGGCTCTTTTACGATGATCTGCTCCTCCTCAGCACTGCAATACCTCCAGGCTTTGTGAGTACACACAAATCTAGTTTCCTGCATTCAGTTCAGGATCATTGCAAACTAAATTCCAGAAATGCCTGAGCTCTTCCAGAGAAACCTGACAGCCTAGCTGAGACCAACTGATGACGGGCTGAGGCCTGTTTTGTTTGTGTTGTCAAAGCTGCTTTCTTCCCTAAGACATTGCACCAACCTCTTATAGTCCTGTCTGGCCCTTCAAAAATGTAAGTGAATATCTCAATCTGTAAAAACCAAGCTTGTCCTTCAGCTCTGGCAGCATTTAGATGGGTGTCTGTGCCACTGGGCTTGTAGAAAGAGAGATAAAACATATCTCATCTGAGCTTTCCGTTGCTCTTGTCACTTTCCCATCTGGCATGTAAAGTATCTCTGAACTTCTTGGCTTATGTTTTCTTTAATATCTGTGTTCTTGTTTAGGAAAGGAAAGGAAAAATCCAGTGCTCCTGTGTTTGAAGCACTGCTGTGGCTGCAGAGGCAGCAGATGCTTGAGAATGTGACAGTGAGTGCTGCTTTTCCTCCTCTACACCCACCACTTCATGGAGCTTTTTAGCCATGAAGGCAGAGTTGTGAGGAGCCTCTAGTGGATAGCAACCACTTAGTGGGATAGTTTGACTTTGCATTTGGGAATGCTGCCAAGGACAGTGTAGGAAAGGTGCTTCTGAAATGGGCAGCATGTGGAGGAATCTGGAACTCCTGTCCATATGAGAAGTTAAGAAAAATGGGAGAGGGGCTGTTCTCCAGCAATTCTGTCTTTTAGGAAGAGATATGGGGGAGAGGAGAAATACTATGAAGAAACAGGGGCAGGGGAAAATTACTTTAAACCTTCAAAAAATTTACAGTGTAAATCCTCAGTTGTTCTTGTTGTGAATTCTTAAAAGATTAAAGCTGTGTAAATTCTGTAGCAGTGGCAGGGAAATCCCACGTTTCTCATGTACTTGTGAAGTACATCAGTTTCACTTACACATTAAAGACTGATGCACCCATAGCATTCTTAAACTTAATTTTCCAGTATTTTCTTATAGGCTTACTACTGAACTGTTAAATTCTTTGCTGCTTATTTTCTTGTGAAAATACATTAAAATAATTAAGTCACTTCATCTCAGAAAAAGAGCTTAGCCGAGCTCTTGGACAGACATCTAAACCAGGAGTTGTTGGCAAATGGTATGAAATCTGAGGAGGAGTAAAAGTAAAATTAATGATAATACTTACATTAGGGGTGAAGAGGTAAATCAGACCTTCAGTGGCTCCTGGTAGGGTGAGTCCTTGAATAAGGAATATAGTCAGGACCAGATATGGAAATATTGCTGTTACATAAATTGCCTAAAATAAGGAGGTCAGAAGACAGAGAGTTACTGGCAGTAAGTTCAATCAATCCTATTTAAATTATTGCAACATACAATAATAATAATATTAGATCAGACAGCTACAGATGAATACAGACACCTTTCAAATAAACAAGGTGTACTTTTGCAGAATATATTTGTAACAAAATGGCTCTTAAAACTGTGTGAGGGAAGGCTGGTAGGGCAGAAGTGTTTGCAATGGAAAAGGAGAGAAGCATCATTTTAAGCCACTTGTACTGTTGTTCTCAATTTGTTGGACAGGGAGCATACTGAATGGTGCCAGTGTGGTAAATGGAGTAAAATGGGGTAAATGGGGTTTTCCTTTTTGTGGTAAAAACTCAGTGTCTGGAGGGCAAGATTTCAAACTGTAGGATAATCACTTCTCTACCCTTTCCATACCTTCCCTGTGGTTTCAATTCCTCGGATGGTGCAGAGATAGACAATTGCCCAGCAAGCTGCTAAGCACAAAATGAGCCACCACTGGAATGTGCCACTCTCAGCAATATCAGGTGTTATGTTCAAAGTTTTCCTGTACCAGAAATAATTTACTGCAGTGCTTTCATAACATTCTTCATTAAACCCTGAAAAAAAAAAAAGTGGCAAGTGTTAGAATAAATTGTGGACTGCAAAATCTAATACAGCGATGGACTCTCTGTAAGGTGCAGCAAGACAAACTCTCACAGCAGGCTGAGACTATGAGACTTATGTGAGACCTTCACCAGAACATCATCAGCATTTTACACAGGAGATAACTTCCTGATTAGAAGCAGTGTTGTACTCAGTGCAAGGTAAAATCTAAACTAATTGTAGTGAAAACAATGAAATTTTTTAGCTGTATAGCTACAAACTGGTGAAGCCATAACAAACTTCAGAGTTTGAAGAGCACCTGAGAATACATCTAAGTCCAGGCTCCCCTGGCTATGTCATGGCCCTGTGGTGGGGAAAGACCCAGGCATTGACCTCTTTGGTTTGAGTTCCCAGGACTTCTGTGAACAGGAACTTCAGGCATCTGCATGCAGGGGAGTGGACATTCCCCAGACAGGGGGGAATGCCTAAGAAAAGGGAACAGGAAGTGTGTACACCTCAACCTGTGATGTCCATTTGTCTTCCTATTCTAGAACAGTCCTAAGGTTTCGAAAGGAAAGTTTAATTCCACTATGTTTTGTCTTTTTTCTTAGCCTTTTACTCAGGTGGTATTTCTTGCTGTGCCCTGGAACTCGTTCTCTCTCATGCTCTGAGAAAAAACGGAAGCTGAAAAATAGTTTTAAAAAACAGCATTCTTGCTTATTCTGCTTGTGTACACTGTCTCTCTTTAGTCTTAGTGAAGGTTTTGTAATGGACAGCAGGACTTGTTCCATATTTTGTTTCCCATTTTAAAGTCAAGCAAAAGGACTCATGGACTTTCTGGCTATTGTTGTTCCTGTGAGGATGATGAATTTGAGCAAGCCAGCATGACTCTTGTACCTTTTTAACAGGAAATCAAACCAGAACTTGTGCACAATTTGGGGCAAAATAAAGTGTGGTTTCTTGATTAGCCCAGAGTCTGTTGTTTTGCTAGCAGTGCTCATGGAGGTGTACTTACCTGTTCTGTTTTCATTTAGAGGACAAACACTCCAAGGAAGAGGTTCTTGGAAGGAGTTTATGAAATACCACATCACCCAAGTTAAAACAGTGTTGTAGTATAAGCTCACCAGAACCGACACCATCCATGAACCAACTCCTACGGAAAGCACAAGATCTCACTTCAGAAAAGTTTTGGAAAAAGTTATCAATCAGTCACTGCACTAGCTGTTAGAAGCTCTAATTTCCTAGTTTTTCAAGATTTTCTTCTCCATCCCCCTGATCCCATCCTGAGATTTTCCAATGAAAGATGGGCAGTTGGGTCCTCAGTAGCCAAACACTGGTGCACAATCCCCGAGATCACCAGCCCTGCTCCAGGAATGCTGAGACTCTCTACTTACATAGAAGGTTAGGGTTGAAATCTTTGCTCTAGTATGTAGTCCATTGTTTTCTACAATACTGGCCAACTGTAATAGCAGAGAGCAAAAGAGATCAAAGTTTTATAGTGTGCTGTAGCTGTGTGAGGCCACTCTTGTCCCAAATCATGCACAGGTGCCCTAAATTTGGCACTGTTTTACTCCTGTGATGAGGAGGGAAGAATATCAACACCACAGTTTCTGCTTGCTTGCATTTTTGCAAAGGGAGTATGAACATGCCTGGTTGTAGGAGATGGGTTTATCTTGAAGCACCACCTGCAGCTTGGTATTTCTTTCTTGTTGCCCTCCAGCCCTTGATTCCTCTTACCCTCCCCTTCTCCTCCCACACAGGCAGGGCCATCAGTGCCAAGTCCATTTCAGGCACCTGCTTAAAGCAGGTCATGATCCAGCAGAGCTGGCTGAAGCATGCAGGAGCTGGCTGAAGCATTCCCCCTGCCCTGCAGGCACAAGGGTGTGTTCCCTCAAATACCCAGGAGAGTCAATGCCTTAACCTCCTCCTGGTGGCTATTCTGGATCACTTTTTGCAGCCTAACAATGGTGGACACAGGACACCAGATGTGTTTTTTCGTGTATTAAATAAGTAGAAAAGAGCTGGCAGTAGAGGACTGCACACCAGTGTGGTGCACTA